TAAAAATAGCTTCCCGTGGGAAACTTCATGAAGGGAAGGTGTCAGTGGAGTTGTTTTATCAGAAAAATTATGTATTCCATTAATTTTTATGGTGACACCGTCACAGATGTTGCGTTTGTTTGGAGTGCGTTAAACAAAATGGCCGCCATAGCAATATAGACAATGTGCGCTATCGACGCCGCTATTTAACCGATTTCAATTTTATTTAGCTTGTTAGAAAGGTAATGTAAAGAGAAAAACAATTAATTCTTGAAAGTATTGCGAAAAAATAATATTTTGGTTGCTGATTGGATTTAAAGTGAAAAAAATTGAAAAATATTGTGTTATATTATTTTTACCAAAATAAAATATGGTCTACGTTATATGAGTTCATATATTTAAAAAAATTAAGTGATACATTTGCACATATATATTAATAAAATTACAAATCGGCATCATCACTATCAACTTCATTACTACACTGCAAAATCAGGCGGATGTAAATTATCACAAGTTACAACAACACATTTCTGTGCAAGGCATATTGTTTGCTAAACATTTACATGGTGGTGAACATCGATTTTTAAAACACGAACATCTAATCAGTTGAAGAAGAGACTCTGCAGTCTTCACTCATAACAGGGGTAAGCACCCCTCTTCCAAATACCAGCCGTGTCCAACTGGATTAGGGATGACTGCATTTGGTTCATCATCTTTTGACCACACAAAGGCTTAAAGGTTAGCTTTCTTAATTGCGGGTACAAGAGAACCTCTAGTGGGGGGTAACTTATCTCCAAGGGCTTGTTTGGCAGTAAACATTGACCATCGTAATTCTGCAAGTGATTTTGTTAGAGTGCCTGCTTTATAAACTCGACAAATAAATATTTCTAGCTGATGCAAAACATCATCAGGTACTAAACCACTGCACTGTGGGACAGCCATAGGTCATAAATCCTAAACACTGAATTCATAATTCTACATATCTTTCATTGTCATTACACTGACAAGCTGTCAAACTTTCCGAAACTATAAATAGGTCGGCGATAATCGTTAATATTTATTCAATTTTGTATATGCAATGTCTGTGGTCCGAAAAAATTAATAAGAGTTGTCAGTGATCGATTACGAAGCACAAAGATATTTGTTACCGTTTTTTGGAAACTTTGTTTGAAGAGTGTTTTTCTGCAATGGATATTCAGACGCAGGGTATGTATTGTCCATTTTTTTGTGTTAAATGCAATATCAACCTGCAGATATGCAATTATCACCAACCTTGCATCTACTTTATTACGTTTTCGAAATTTGTATTAACTTTTAAATTATATGCCACATGATGCCATCATTGTCATATGGCAAAACATAATCTTTATGAACTTGCATAAGCTAAAAATGATTGTCCATTTACCTGCAATAAACCCTCTACTCGTACATAACCTGTGTTATAGAATGTGCTACCGAAGGTTTTTGTAGTTACCTGTATTTATTTTTTTCAGGTACTTTATACACGTGCTCGTTTTCAAGAATAAATGTTCTTGAGATCTGGTTATCTGCCGGCCAGTGTAATAACGCTGACAAGTCTCGACACGTCTTCCTAATTTTGATGAATTCGCTAAATGACTCTGAAAATATTGACACTAAGAATTTGGAGTATAAAGTAAATAATTTATGTAAGGCTTTTGTTCGTTATTGGAACAGTGTAAATAGGTGTAAAAACACTCTCTTAAATAAGTATTCAGATTGGTTTAATACTATCGAAAGGATTGATTTGCCAAGAAACCAAGGGTCGTGCACTCTGACTCAAAATCTATCTTCCAGTCTTTCTCGTGGTCGTCCTCGAAAACCTTTTTTAGAGTGTAGTAACAGAACAAAACGGAGAAGAGTGACCGAGTTATCGAAGTCTGATGATTCTACTGTTAATGCGTTGATTCGCATTTCAAGCACTTCTGACCAGAATATACCTAAAGTAAATACAGATGATATTTTGGCACTTATCGCAGAGGCTCAGCTGACAAAACATCAATATTTATTAATTAAACAATTTGTCAATATCAAAATTGCTTGTAATGTTTTACAATCTTACCAAAACATTGTCAGTGCGAAACAACATTGTTATCCTACAAGTATATCTGTTACTGAGTCAACCGCAGAAGTGGAATTGCAAAATTTTCTGGACCATACTACCTCTCGAATACTTCAATCTCAAGAAGTTGTTTTAAATCAGATTTCAGGCGATTGTTTGTCAAATATAAGTTTAATTGGTAAATGGGGATTCGATGGTAGTACGGGACACAGCGAGTACAAACAATGTTTTTCAGATCCATCTTTGCAAGACAGTAGTTTGTTTGTAACATCTTACGTTCCGCTTCAAATAGTATCGAAATTATCCGATGACAGCAGTAAAATTTTATGGAAAAATCGTCGCCCTTGTTCTCCTAGATACTGCCGTCCTATTCGATTTCAATTTTTGAAGGAAACGGCTGCAGTATCTAAGCAAGAGGAGGCTTATTTCAATGAAAAAATTATCAACTTGAAACCCACTATTTTTCAGATTAATAATCCCGATCGCCAAATTACTGTCTCGCATGTCTTACAACTTTCAATGATAGATGGTAAAATATGTACTGCTTTAAGCGAAACATCAACAAGTAGATGTTTTATATGTAATGCTACTCCTAAAGAAATGAATAAAATAGACGATTGCTTACAGAAACCACTAACGGAAAGTAGGTATCAATTTGGATTATCACCGCTCCATTCTTGGATTCGTTTTTTCGAATATTTTATTCATCTTTCTTATAGATTAACTATTAAGAAATGGCAAGTTCGGAATGATAATGCAAAACAGATGTTAGCAGATAAGAAACAGTATGTGCAATCACAGTTTAGAGAATAATTAGGTTTAATCGTGGACAAGCCGCGGAGTGGTGGAAGTGGGACATCCAATGACGGAAACACAGCTAGGAAATTTTTTATGAATTCGGATATTTCAGCTCAAATAACTGGTCTAAATAAAAATCTTATAGATCGTTGTTGCGTGATACTACAAAGTTTATCATCGGGATACCAAATTAATAAGGCTAAATTTAGAGATTACGCATTACAAACAGCATACAAACTTGTTGAGGAATATCCGTGGTACAATCTCCCTTCTTCCGTCCACAAAGTGCTTATACATGGGTCAGATGTTATAGACTTTTCTTTATTATCTATCGGGGAACTTTCTGAAGAGGCTGCTGAAGCTACTAATAAACATATTAAAATATTTCGGCGAGATCACACAAGGAAAATGTCACTTGTTCTGACTTATCGAGATTTAATCAAACTTCCGGTGGTGTCACAACCAGATATTGCATGGAACCCGGGCAGTGCTGAAGATTTTAGTGGTCTGAGTGAAATATATATGGACTCATTCATAGGACTCGTAGTTTCGCCGAAAATCGAGATAAACCGATTTTTACCCTTAAAAACTCATCCCCTCCTACTTCCCAAACTCAAATCGACCGTAATTTATTTTTCCTTTCATTATTGCTGTATTATCTACCTTTTTTAATGGGTTTCACTCTACTATAATTTTTTTTGGTTTTTTACCTTTTTTAACGGCTTTAGCACTGGTCTAAAAACAGTGGCCACACTTAAATGCAACAACGAAAAAGAAAATGTACCCCTACATGGTACATATCTGATTGAGGCAACCCCATTCTGCGAGATACACTTAGAAAAATTCATCTTGAAGACACATCGAAGCAGCAACATACTGTTCGAAGAAATACTACTGCCGAAGTTGGAGACCAACACATCTTTTGCCAAACAAGACATCATTTTCAATCCACCTGTATGGGACCTCAACGTAATTAACATGAAGAATAACCAAGACATCAAGAAAGAACTAGAAGAACAAAGGCTTTCTCTCAGTTCGATTTCAGTGAAAAGACTTAGTATTTGGACAATATTAATCTATATTCTATTGATTTTACTTACTTTATTCATTGCTTATAAATACTTTAAAAATAAAAAATGCATTGTTGTTAAGAACGATAATGACGATATAATAATATAAGTGCTTATTTTAATTACATTTTACTATTTTATATTATATACATTTATTCCTTTTACTTTACATTATATTCAATTATCTATTAACATTTAATTGATTAATTATTTTATTACATTATTATTGATTTTTAATTTAATAAACTTAAAAATAATAATTAGGAAATCCAGGTGTATTTCCACCTCTACGAAGGGAGAGTTATAATTGTATAATTAGCAGACCCTGTAGAAATATTATACTTTATATTCATCGGCACTTATATTCATATTTAAGCCGCTGCACGACGCAGGTACAGGGTTCCTTCAGAATCCCTAGTAACTCTAGTGGTTTTTTTGTTTACTTACATCCTTACTTATTTGTCACTCGTCGCGTCGTGTGCGCGCTAAGCTTGCCATTAACTTTTTATAAAGTAGGTATACTTGCCAAGAACACGAGTCCGGCTTAAGAAAATAATACCTACAGATAGACGATAAAGACGGTCCTACACGATGTGACGAACACCCTCAAACGTTGGACGCACGGCATTCGCCACATCGTGGGGGAGCGCAGAAATCCATGTGTCGAACGTTCGAAGCCAGTTCGGGCTCTTGTCGGTAAATTTTACGCGAGTCAAAGGACCTTCCAACGTTCGAAGTAATGTTCGATGCGCTCCTACACCAGAGTCTTCACGTGACTGATATTTTCTAGGGATCAGGGCCCGTATTCTGTAACTTTGACATGAAAACGTTACGCTTTCAAAGCGGTGAGCGCAAGTAGTATTCGATCAGCGAAACGCAAGGCAGTCGACTTTGGTATTCTCGTTGCCATGCGAATCGTGTTCTGGATACGCGTTGAGCACATATTGACAACATCACAATTTTTGATGTTTTATAATAGTCAAAAGTTGATAACTGACGGATGTAACCAGATGTAACAATGAAAAATACCAATGTTATGCCAGTGTCAAAAAATTTTTGTACTATTTCATAACATTTTTATTAGTACGCAACTTTAAAATGCAAATTTTAAGAACGGCATAAGGAAAATGTCCGAGAAAAAACAACTATCGGTACTATAAAGAAAAATGCTGCTAGAAAAGATGGAAGAAAATCCTCAATTAGTTAAACAAAAGTTTACAAACCAATATACTAGTAGGGATATGCAGAACAAATGGATCGAAATTACGCAAATACTAAATTCTGTTCCAGGTGTAAAAAAAGAATGGAAGGAATGGAGAAAGGTAGGTTTACTCGTTATCCGGTATTATGAAATTATTATAAATACCTATTATAGATTTGAACTCTATATTTTTTTCTTAATTTAGACTTGGAGCGACATAAAATGTTACACCAAAAAGAAAAAAGCAGAAAATGTTCGATCCATGAACAAAACTGGGGGTGGGCCAGATACGACCCACGTATTGAAGAGAAAGTTCTGGATATCATTGGTATATTATGTAATAGGACTTTTAGTGTTGATTTGATATTTAATATTTATTTTACTTCAGGCGGAGACATTCTAATTAATGGAGTAGAAGTCCCGAAGGTTGGCTTACCTCTGCCAATAGAAGCCTTAAATCCAAATATGTCAATATCCACCGAAAATAATGAAAATCTTTATGATATGGATGTTAAGAATGATCATATACAAATCATACCTCAAAATGATGATGTAATTCTTCGAAACATTCATGAAAACAAGGAAGAAGGTGTGGCCTTACTGGAAGATAGTTCCTACCATGAACATAGTTCCAGTAAGACCACACCTCTCCAAGTAAGGCCACCGAAGAAGAACATATATACAAAAAGCAATAAAAAAACTAATTTAAAAGCTTCTATTGAGCAAGCAATAGAGCTTGCTAAAATAGGAAAAGAAAAAAATGCAATAAAACGGGAATATTACAAACAAAAACTTGAAATAATGAGAGAAAATAATAAAATACAAGAGCGCATAGCAATTAGTATTGAGAGATTGTTGGAACATCGGTAATAAAATTATTTAGATATTATTTAAAATTGTTAAATATTTTTATATTAATAAAATACATTTATAATGTTGACAAGCAAATTTTATTCAACTGATACATTTAAAAAAAAATAAACAAAATAGAAATTACATATACTTAATTTAGTAAGTTAACTATAGTTTTGCCTATATGCACTAAAAAGATGATTGAGTGAGTCTATGTTATGGTAGATAGATACTGGCTTTTGTCAAAGCCCTGGGACTGTATGATGAGTTATGATTCAAGAAAGGGGGACACAATGGATCTGTAAGGTCGAAGTGATTAACCCCCCTCCCACTCATTCTAAATTCTAAAATTCTAAAAAGTTATGGTAATAACTATAAGTCAGCCCTCTGTTTCCAGTTCTAATATTGGCGAAAACTGTGGCAAATGTTGGTTCGAACGCAAATGTTGGTACAAACTTTGTCTTTACTGCTGCCGGATTTATGTATTATCGAAAGTATTGTATTGTCTTTTGTATTATGTACTATTGATATAATAAATTTTCTTTGCTGATGCTGAAATATTTTCTTGCTTCTAGTGATATAAAGCTCATTGATCAAATATTTTTCTTGTCGGGTCACAGCTACAACAGATGTGATCGTAACTTTAGTCTGATAGAACGCAAAAGGGAAAAAATATGATATTATCGAAACCTCGGAACAGTGGATTCAAATTATTTAAGACGCTAAAGTCAAAGAACCAAAGTTTCAAGTAACGAGAATGGCAAAAGAACACTTTTTCACATTCAAAGGAAAACATAATTGTAAATAGAAAAACTGATGTTTCGAAACAGAAGATAAACTGGTTATTTTTTTTTATTTGATCCTTTTCCTCAGACACGGCAATGAGCAGGAATTGCGTCAGGCGAGGAATAGTTCAAGAATAATGAGGTTTCTCTTCTATACCCCACGGCAAATGTTATAACGCAACAAAAATACTGTGATTTGATGGTTCTGATCACGTTAATTGACCCCCAATACCGATCATTTTACATGCAATTGCGAACAACCAATGAAAATAAGGATTACAATTTTGCAAGCGGTGACAGTGACGATGAGTAAATAAATAAAATAAAAATACATTTTTTTATAAATATGCAACAAAGTTCGTCATAAATAAGTAAAGAGGTATTTGTATTATATTCTATTTCGAAACATTTTTATGTAGGGGAGAATTACGAGAGTTATGTAGGGGAGAGATAAGATGGGACGGTCTCCCAAAAAGAAACAGTATTTTTTTTAAGACATAGTAGACTTGCGGTGACATCTATTTGTGTTAGTGAAAAGTTAATAGTACGGCTATTTTTCAGAGAATAGATGGCTTGTCTAGTTATACTTGTGTAGAGTGGACAGCCGGTTTTTAATTTTTGGAAGATTTTTAAAAATATTTGTTAGCGGGACAACTTCGTATACTGGCTTGACGGTAGATAGCTATACCTTTTAAGGCCGCGGTGTAAAGCCGAATTCTCACCAAATGACCGACCATAATCGTCCTGATCCAGATCGATTCGATTGTGGTCGTTCCGACCGAAATCGACTGAATGTGTTCATCGGATTGCATCGGGACGATTATGGTCAGATTTATTTAAGTGGAGATACCTAGTCTCCTCCAAGATGTCGTCAAGTGAAGATGAAGTTGTTGTAGCACTCGCGTATATAAGACGAAGACGCAGCCGCGCCGTCGTCGCCGGTTTAGGATACATCCGTACATAGCGGAAAATCAAAACAGAGGTGCTTTCATTTGCGCTAGTGAATTGGCATTCACAACGCATGTCGAAAGACAGCTTTAATCTCCTATGTAACATGATGCAAACGATATTTCCAAACGAGATACAAATTACAGAAAATGTGTGTCAGTGGAAGAAATAACTGCCGACTGCCGACCACGAACGTTGCAAGCAGCGTCGCGTACGACTAATATCGCCCGATTAAAATCGGTCACGACTGAAATTTTGTCAGTGGACACGTACCCATTTGCGATTAAGTGCAAGATCTCCGTCGCGCGATCGAAATCTGGACGATTGGGGTCGGTGCGATCTGGTGAAAATCCGGCCTAAGTGTGGTTTACTGCAATAATATTTCCAGAAAGAAGCTTTTGCAACAGGTTGTGTTTATAAAATAGGTTATATTTTTTATGAATCAGTGCATATTTCCCAAGATGGGACACTTCAAATTTCTTAAGTTGGGACGTCCCAAAACTGTTTATTTTTGAACACAAATCTGTTCTTTCAACTTTTTTTCAATTCAGACGCCTCCGACAAATCGTTACTATCGTCGAAAAACAGATCGTGAAAAATCGTCGATTCAGGACATGTTAGAGGCCGTCCAAAAAGTGCGAAATAATGAACCGTCAGTACCTCAAACTGCAGATAAATATAATGTACCCAAAAGTACTTTGCAGCGAAGGGTTGCAAATAGAAATAAAATCGTAACAGAAAGTGAAAAATGCCTCGGACGATTTAGAAAAGTTTTTTTTTTCTGTTGAGCAAGAACAAAATATTGTTGAATACATTTTAGAAATGGAAAAAAGATTTTTCGGAATGGGTTCAGAAGAACAGGTATCTGGCCGTTCAATGCCGATATATTCAAAGGTTGTGAACTCGCCGCTGCAGAAACAACTAACACTAAAGTAGCTCCATATCAAAACCCCTCTACCTCCAGAAAGGCCAATATTTCACAATCTTCGGAAAATGGGCAAAACAACGGGAGTAGCTCAGAAGGTGAACTTCCGCTAGCAGCCTTGGTAGCTTCGCGGAAAAAGCAGTTCCTGATAACAACTCTTCGTCGTCTAAAGTAAAAATTATTGGCATCAATCCTTTACCGATAGCTAAAGACAGACGAAAAAAAACACAAGGAGATAGGAGATCAACAAACAGCTAGGAGATCATTGAAGTCTTGTGGAGCAAAATCTAACTGGAGGCCAAGCAGACGCCAAAAGTAAATAAAAGATTAAACAGTTTACAGTTGAGGGTTGGAACCTTTGGTGTTACACAGCAAAATAAAAACACTATATCACCACAATACACCAAAACACTTTTACTTTTACACTGGACGCGCGTTTCGCTAACCATGTTAGCATCATCAGCAGATGATTATAAACTAAAGTACAATCTACAAGTTGAGCGTTTATATACTCGCTCAGTGGGCCCCAGTGGGCGTGGCAAAATCTAGCCAACCGAGTCAGAGCCAACTGAGCGTAACAGTTAGATTTCCGCCACTAGAGTAGTAGGAACAAAGAACTTGAAGGAATTGGACCGTTGACTCTGTTCATACTATCTTTACATTTATTAATTCTGATGCTTTCATATGCATCTAATTGCCTGTAATTTGAGACTTGTTTAATTAATTTTAAATTATTAAGATCTATACAATGTTCATTATCAACAATATGTTCGGCAACGCAAGATTTATCCGGTCTACCATATCTTATCTGAGCTAAATGTTCTTTAAATCTAGTTAATATTGATCTTCTAGTTTGCCCAACATATTTCTGATTACAATCTTTACAAGAAATTTCGTAAATACCCGACCTTTCCAGTGGAGGTGTTTTATCTTTTGGATTACCTAATAATTGTTGTAATTTATTATTAGCACTATACACAAGTTTATAATTGACATTCTTAAAAATTCCTTTTAGACCACGGGATAACTCTCTATCAAACGGTATCGAAAAATATTTAGACGTATCTTTCTCCACTTTAAAAGTCGAATTTTCAGAAATCATTAACCTATACCTACGTTTTCTAATTAATTTATCAACTAGTGAAGGAGAATATCCATTACACTCAGCTACATTCCTAATGTAATCTTTTTCTATTTCATACCTTTCGTTGGAAAGTGGGAAACTAAGTTATCTATGAACTAAGAAATTTAAACTAGCCATTTTATGTTCAACACTATGATGTGATTCATTAGGAATATATCTGCGTGTGGTCGTATTTTTCCTATAGATATCAAATTCCAGGCAATTATTAGTATTTCTAATAACTAATACATCTAGAAATGGTAATCTGTCGTTGTTCTCAATTTCATGCGTAAATTTAATGGAAGGAAAACGATTATTTAACTTAGAAATAAAATTATCTATGGTGTCTGAATGTGTGTCAAAAACTGCAAAAATATCATCCACCTAAACCATACTCTTGGAAAATACTCAAACTGATTCTTATCCTCCACTTCAAACCTGCTCATGAATAAATTAGCCAAAAATGGAGACAATGGATTACCCATTGCTGTACCTTCCCGCTGTTCAAAAAAGTTGTTATTAAATTGAAAACAATTTTGTTTCATACATAACGATGTAAGCTCAATATATTCACTCACAGTTTTGTTGTCGAGACCATTTGCGTTCAGTAATTCCTTTAAGTAGCCTAAAGTATGGAATTGGAACACTTGGGAACAACGAAGATACATCAAAGGAGACCAAAATTTCACCTTCATGGAATGTTATATCTTTAATTTTGTTAATGAATTCAATATTATTTTTAACTGAGAAAGAAGGTTCATGATCAGGTAAATTTTCGAACTCCCTTGATAACCATTTTGCCAAATTATAAGTCGGAGAACCTACAGCCGAAACAATTGGGCGCATAGACTTGTCCGGTTTATGAATTTTTGGCAAAGCATACAATTTTGGTAATGAGGGATTGGATACTTGCAATTTCCTCTTTAAAGAAAGATCAATAAGGGTGTTACATTCTTTTAGAGTTTTTTTAACGTCTGCTACCATCTTAGACAAAGGATTATTTTTCAAATTTATGTAGGGGCCATTATCGATTAAGTTGTTAACCTTATCGTAATAGTATTTTTTATCTAATATAACAACCTTATTTCCCTTATCAGCTTTTAGATAGAAACAATCTTTGTTACGCAAACTCTTGACAATATTGTTCTCTTTGTTAGATTTTCAGGAATTACATGTATTTTGTTTTTTCAATGTGTTATTTTTTGGCCAAAGTTTGTTGGCTGTGGAATATTTCTGTGTGTATGAAGTTTCGTTCATTTACAAAAACTTGTTTTATTTTGATTAGCTATTAAGATATTATTTTTTAAAAAAAATCTTCCCATCTTAGGTTACTCTCCCCTACCTAAATATCTACACTTGTCATATACATAGGGCTTATAGCGCCATGCTATTCTGCTATGTTCATTTTTAAAATAAAACAATCAAACCATTGATTTTTTATAGTAGATATGCAACCAACAATTCATCATTCATATAAAACGGCCATTTTAAAAACCGCAATTTTTTTGTTTTAAATTAAGTCAATACTCTTATAATTGATTTTTAAAATTTCATTGTAAATTAATAATATAAAATAAATAAAATGTTTACAAAAAAGGGAAGAACTGAAATGGTGTCTCTATACCTAAGTAGTATAGTTTATCTGAAGTCAGTTGGAACAGATTGGGTCAGTCAAATCATAAAAAAAAGGTTTATAGATGTGTAGTGGGAACCTGAATCAATGAATTTGCTAGGTTATTCAGAAATCAGGTCTATATACCAGAGTTGAACAAAACCCTAATTATATGAAGGAATTCTATTTAATAGGGGACTCTGTATATCCAGACTTGAATAGGTTAGTAACACCTTTTCAGGATAATGGTAATCTTACCAGGGAACAAGTTGAATTTAATTATGGATTATATAGCCGTTAGAATAGTTGTTGAAAATGCATTTGCCTTATTAAAAGGTAGGTTTAGACGATTAAGAAAATTAGTCAAAACCAACATGCATTTGTGTAGTAGAATAGTAATGTTGGGCTTGCATATTACACAACATATGTATTGATCAAAATTATATTCTTGAAACCGAAGAACCTGATTCTAATCAGCCTTTTAATGAGCCATATAGTACAAGTACACTTGAGGGTAAGAAACAAATGCAAATATCTAATTCGTTATATGGAAACAATTCTAGAACAAAGTTTTAATACTAGTGTGTTTTAGTTTATCATAAGTATATTTACTTTTTTATTTGGTCTATTAGTTAAAAAAAACTTTTTTTTAGTTTAAGTTTACTTTAAGTCACAACCAGGTGTTTTACTGCGGTCTGGACGATTTACAAATGCAGTTTTGCGAATGTTGTTTATTTTTGATGGTCTGTGTCCCGTTAGTGGTACAGCCAGGTGTTTGACTGCGGTCTGGACGATTTACAAATGCAATCTATATTTGTATAAAAATTATTATTTTCATCAAAATCTATCCAGACTCCAACCAGATTATTAATAAACAAATTAAAATATGGTGATGTAACCGACCATCCCTACATTATCGATACTGGCGATAGTGCCCATCTCTAACTGATGACAGCTAGAGAAATTGACATTAGACATATATACGATTCCCTCCAAATCTAATTTTCTTACTACTTTACTTTTACTTTGTTTAAATAAGTTTAAATTAAAGTCAGGTTTAATTAAAACAAGTGCTTTATTGTCTACTGGTATCACGAACTACAAACCTACAGGTAAAATAACACCAAAAGAATCTACGACCGTAACTCAGTAAATACTTTCTTTACACCTCAAAGAGTTTTCCCGTCATAGTGATAAACAATCTATTTATACCCTAATTGTTCAAAACATATTTCATAATTATATATTTTTATTCTTTGTTGAAGATAAGGTTTGGCTGGATAGTTTTGGTTGATAAATACTTGTGAAACAGTGTTCGGTCCGTTTTGCCTTTTTTATAATTCCATTATGCCTTCAAGTGTGGGTAATATGGACCATCAGTATGTTTTTAATTTTTGAGTAAAAGGTGTAAAAGGGATTTTAAAGTAAGCACAAGTTTTTTATTACCTTATTACGCCTAAGGGCTATAGGGGTACCGTAATACTTTTATACAACGATGGATTTTTGTATTATTGCAGCGACTCTATGAAAGATACTTGTCCCAATACACAATTTACCAAATTTTGACTGCAGTGAGTGTATATTCTCGTATAATGACAAAGAAGTTAGCCCTGCAATATAATTTGTTTGATTTGGAAGCAATACAAATCTAAATGGACCACAGAAAGAAGGTTCAAAACACTTCGAGGAACTTCTTAACCTAACACTTAGTAAGCTATCGATGGATCAATAAACATATGTTTTTAATATTCAATAATCAGTTTCATATAAAATTTAAAGGTGAGATTTAGAGTTATAGCTAACATTTCCAATGGAGGAATTGCGCGTCTCATTGGTGTATCTAGGGATTTGATCATGTCAGTGATTCTTCCCGCAAGCTCATCAAATGACATCACACTCATTCGGAACTCTTTAAAAAACTTGTCTGGATCGTCTCTTAGATCCAATAACGATACAAAAATCTACCTCTTGTGACCCGTAACTCAGTATATGGATGTATCCAATAACATCTGTTCCTTTTCTTAATATACATTTTGTACACCAAAAAAAATTACTCTTTTTTTGCGAACAACACTATCCATCTCTGTGGTGGAATGCGTACTAGCGTTATTTCGCCGCCTAGTGTGCATAGGTTATACGCCATGGCCCTTGATCGCAACTATTTTGATAGTGAGAAATTAATTATCGAGGTAGAAAAAAGACCAGCACTCTATAATAAAGTTATTCCAGAATACAGTGATAGAAATGCAAAAGAAAAAGTTTGGTTAGAAGTATGTGAAATTACTGTGCCCAACTGGCATCAACTTAAGGCAAATCAAAGAATAAAACAAGGTAAATATGTTTTTTGTACCAGGTCACATTCTTAAACTTATTACAATGGGTATTATTTTTATAATAATAATTTTAACCCGTAAACAAATCGATTTGGTTTTCTATTGGG